TTTGCTATATAACATGACAGGGGACTGTTTGCCAGGGGACTGTTTTTAGTAGATTTCATAGAAATCGAACTATTGCAATGGTCCTCATGACAAAACTTTTGAAAAATTTTGCTATATTCCGACTTAACTTGACGAGCTGAGTCAGAAAATACATATGGTTCAAAAAATTATATATCTATATATAATTTAACAAATATAAATAATGCTGTAGAGCGGGAAAGAATAGGAGTTACGGATAATTATTACGTGAAGCGTTCCAACATTCACGTAACAGGATATTTTGGTAGGAAAGGATTGAGAAAGGATTGTGGAGAGGATCATCTTAATGTGAGTGTATAGAATATGCGAGAAAAAAAAAATCACGCGGCTTGTCACCACGATAGCGTCGCCAATTCATAATAGATCTTTATCAAACTCAACTGATATTACTGGAGGTGAACCTTGTAGTACACCTCCAGTAATATCATACTCCCTTGGACCGTTCTTCGTGTCATACTTCAGGACCCTGTTTTCAAAGTAGCTTGCTACGATCTTAAGAAGGTATTACGGTACATTCTTCTCTTGGAGGGCCTGCATGATGCATTCCCAATTGGCGGAGTTGAAGGCGTTTTTGATGTCCAGAGTCACCACCAGGCAATACTTCTTCGTTCCACCCTTCCATCTGGTTCCTGCGATTGCTTCCTTGGCCGTATCAACAACCAGATTGATTGCGTCCAGGGTTGATCGTCCTTTCCGGAATCCATACTGATTGTCTGCCAGAAGTGGGTCGACTACTGCTTCAATTCTCTGGTGAATTATGCTTTCAAATATCTTACCCGCTGTATCTAGCATGCAAAGTCGGCGGTAAGATGACGGTTCATCCGGTGGCTTTTTTCCTTTAGGAAGCAGCACTAACCGTTGCTGTTTCCACTTTCGAGGAAAAATCCCTTCTTTGAGATAGGTGATGTAAACATCCAGGAATAATGCCTGTGCTGCCTTTATAGCTGTTTTTAAGGCAATATTAGGGATTCCGTTCAGACGGAATTAGTCCCGGTGCTTTATTATTCCCTACGCGATTGCAAGCCTCCGTCAGTTCTTCTTCCGTGACAGGTGGAATGTCCTCCAGTTCGCCTTGAGCTAACTGGTAGTAAAGCTCGCGTTGATGCGGAAACAGCGCGGTAACGATTCTCTGCAGAAGTTGTGGGCATGTGGGTGCCGGCATTTGTTTGAATTTTCGGTGAGTCATGACCACCTTGTACGGTCTACCCCACAGGTCTTTGTCCACCTCGTTGATGAGCTCTTTCCAGCATTGCCTCTTACGATCCTTATTTTCTTTAGACACTCTTTCCGAAGAACCCTGATGTGGTCGTTCCACCAGTACACTGCCGGGCGTTGGCTTTTTTTTTTTTTTTTTTTTGGCTTTTGGGCGAGAGGAGGGAAATCTTCATAAGACACCGGCTAGATGTTGGAGATATTGGTTGCCGGTAGTGTGAGATTCTTACTCACTAAAACCCTCCCCTCTCTTGTACCTGATACTGCGGGACCGCGTTAGCATTACTTCGCAGTACCAGGCCCCCTCCAAGCTACTCCTGTAGCTATTTCCTCCTGTAGCTGTTTCCTCCTGTAGCTACTGTAACAGGACCCTCCGTTGACATCGGAATGAGTTTATATCGTTAAAAACATCATTAGTTAACAAAATACATTATCATTCGTTAATTATTAACATTTTCGTAAATATTAGTCCATTATGATTTTATTCTCATCGAGACCTTTCGTTTGAGTACCCACATGAATTTTTTCATATATCTTATATATATGATATTTATAAAATATATGATAAGTGCATGTGGGTACTTAAGGTCGACAACAATTTATAAATAAAAAATCTATTAAATAAACATTTTCCCGTGGACTGAGTTGTCAATCTAAACCATTCTGGAATCCACCGGAAGACACACAAAAAATTTCATTAAAATCGGTCCAGCCGTTTAGCAGGAGTTCAGTGACAAACACACGCACAGAAGAAATATATATATATAAAAATTGGCAGTACTTTTATCCCGGATAAAATTTTATCTCGGATTGAAAAACTGGCCCTTAGTATGGTCATTATAGAGGAAAGCTTTTTGTTTTTTTATTAAATATTTTTACGCAATATTACGAATATGTTACATAAATGTCAATTTATAATCAAGGTTTAAATTTCTCTTGCTTTTGATACAATTCTATCAATAATAATCCACCGGATGACTGAAAGTCTACTTCATAAATAAACACAATAAGCATAAATGCACGTTCGTATCCTGGAAAATTTGAGGTTTGCATTTTCCCGACATCATACTAAAATAATCATAATTATTGGACATATCCGCCTATTATTAATTGAGTGAATTTACAATTTGAAATTTGACAGAATTGCCTAGCCGGGCGTTGGCTTATGCTGCTTTTCCGGGCCATACTTGCGTCACAGGCCTGGACAACTCTTTTCATCAGGTCCTTGGTCATTTCCTCTGCAGACCCAGTAGTAATCGATTCACTATTCAGGGCTATTACCAATGTGCTTGTGTCAAAAGACTTCACTTTCCATCCACTGGTATTGAGTGACTTGATTGGTCTTCTTGTGTTTCGGTCATGTGATATTTCCCAGAGAGTTGCCTTGTGGTCGCTGGCTGTGTAGATATCCATCACCTTCCAGTCGTATTTCCCACTGATGAGGCTGCTGCTGACGAAAGTGAGATCTACAATAGAGCTTGCTTCTCCTTTAGTATAGGTTGGCGTATCACCACTGTTGAGCTGGACTACATCTAGTGTAGTATAAGCTTCTAGCAGTGCTTTTCCGCGCGCATTGGTCTGCTTGCTACCCCAGTCTACTGCCCAAGAGTTGAAGTCACCGGCAATCATGACTGGATAATGCTGCTTGGCGTCCTCGGTCAGTTTGTCCGAGAATTCAGTGAATTCAACAATGGATAGGCTAGATGGTGCATAACAGCTGTAGAAACGGATGCCGTTAACTGTTGCTGCTACAAAGCAGGCATTATCATTGTTAACTACACTCTGGAAGGGATGCTTACCACAGGACCAGATGATAGTCTTGGTGATGCTGTCAGATTTCCAAGGCTGTGTGTGTGTGTGTGTGTGTGTGTGTGTGTGTGTGTGTGTGTGTGTGTGTGTGTGTGTGTGTGTGTGTGTGTGTGTGTGTGTGTGTGTGTGTGTGTGTGAGTAAAAGTTTCGAACCGCTTATAACTTTTGAACGGCTTGACCGATTTCATCGCGGTTGGTGCCATTCGAAAGGGCTTGGCCAAACTTAGATTTTGAAACCTATTTGGACCGATTCAGATCAATAGATTTTGATGTGGTTTTTTTGCATAAAAAACCAATATTTATTTCATTTTAGTTTTCAATGCTCCAAATAGAAATGTTTTTTTACTTTCGTAATAAATTTTTTTTTGTAACAAAATAACAATTTTTCTAATAAAAAAATGCCTGGGACAGCAAAAAACATCTTTACAGAGAATCACCCATATACATATTGTTCAGTGAACAGGCCCACTCAATGAGCAATACGTCACTGTGGGCTCCCCAAATTTACAACACGCACCTGACAAGCCATCGTTCCCGCTATTTCTCACCCGCATGCGTAAACCGCCTGACTGATCACGCCACAGGTATCGAATTTTACCATTGGCTATCGATGTCGACATCAATAGAACGAATTTATTGATTGGCTATCGCTCTCGTTAGACATGCGCAGTAGCCTTCTTCTCCAAGACGAGGAAGAAGACGAATTATTATTATTATCTTTCGCATCCATCTTTCGTACGAACAAGTCGCTTTTTCGCATATATAATTTTCGCCTTGCTAATTAACCGCTGTTCGCTATTTCTTATAGTTTAATTCACTTTAATTGATTGCATTTAATTTATTTAGTTTGTTTCAGATTAATTAGAATTAATTGTACAGTAATTACCGCTTTTTACAGTGCCGGCAGTTTACTCAACCACGTGCTAAACGGCTTCGCCTTTGCTAACCACGCTGTGTATAACATATCCGCTTTTATTTAACCAATCCGCTATTAAACAAGTTAAATATTGATTGTAATTATAGTTAAATAAACTCTAGTGTTATTTTTAATAATAATTTTTGTATTTTAATTGAGATAACCAGACCGAAACCTGATCCTTAGTTTTTCCGCTCTTTCAGCATTTTACACATATATACATATATGAAGTATTCCATGCCAAATCACCGAGTTTTTGACCTGACCCTCTTAGATTTGGCTGAAAATTTTTTATCATTTTCTACTCAACCAAAGATATTTTCTAGAATATTTGTAGATTTTTTTTCCCAACTCAAGAAAAGTTACGACTTTCGAAAAAAAACCGCTTTTTAACTTCCCGCTGAGAAAATCGAATATTTTCAAAAATCGGGAAATTATTGTTTTCACCCCGTTTTGCAAAAATCGAGTTTTCATCAGATCTCAACGTTTGAAGGTCACAGGAAGCTTTCCTGACTATCCCCGCGAGGTTGTCACTATGTCTGTATGTGTGTATGTATGTGTGTGTGTGTGTGCGAGTGTGTGTGTGTGTGTGTTCTTTTTTTTCATAGAGAAGGAAAAAATCTTTCAAACACACCGATATCATGATGGTCGTTAGTGTGGGATTTCCACCCACTAAAAAACCTCCTCTCTCCTTTCCCTATAGATGTTATGGGGAAGACTGAATCGGAACCGCGTTAGCATTATTTCAATCCAGTCCGTGTTGCGTATCACGACGCCTGTTTCTGGTTACTGGTCCCTTTCTGCGTTTTTTTTTTAAAAGGCGCTGTGCGTAGGCTGCGATAGCTGACCAGTTATCATCTTGTTTGAGGATGCAGGTCATCAAGCTCGCAGGAGAGAGCATGGTGCCTATAATTTCTTCGGTGCTGCTTCTGTAGTCCTTCAACCGTGCACACTCAAAGAACGTGTGTTCGGTATCGTCGATTTGGTCCGGGCAGTATTTGAATGTCGACGTGTGATGCAGCCGTTAGGCGTTAAACTGTCTATGTCCCGTCAATAGCTGGGTGAGGAAGAAGTCCGTGTCCTCTTGCTCCCGTGAAAGCCAGACGTTGATGTTTGGGATCAAGCGCGCTGTCCATCTGCCTGTCTCCTCTGATGTCCAATGATCCTGCCACTCATGTAGCGTTTTCTTGTTTATCTTCGCTCTTGCCTCCTTAGAGTTGTCACCGTTCACTTTAGAATCGTAGAATTTTACCCTTTCGAACGCTAGTATGTCGATAGTCATGGCGTGGCTCCCGCAATGACCAATACAGCTGCTTCGGAAACCGTGCGGTACGCGCAGGTAACCCTGAGAGCGCGCCACCACTAGACTGTTGCCATCTTTCGCTAGTAGTTATTTTGTTTTAGGATGTCTGTCCATATCTCCGCTCCATAAAGCAACACTGAGTAGACTGCTTCCAAAAGAACTCTTCTCTTTTTGATTTGTGGTCTGATCGTGTTGGCTATGATCCTTGATAGACTAGATACTGTTTTGCTGGCTTTCCATGTCCGTCTCATGTCCACAGCAAATGGTTTCAGGAACCATTTTTGACGTGTCAGGACGACCATCTCGGTTTATGCTTGGCGAGTTTCAGGTGGTGTTTATCAAGCCAAGTTTCGACGGCGTCAATAGTTTCCTGAACCAATTGTTCTGCCTCCTCGGTGCTGTCTACTACTATCGTGGCCGCCAGCTTTACTTGTTTCAGCAACGGGATTTCTAAGAGCTCGTCGTAGTCCGCGTTCCATAAGTCAGGTCCCATAATTGATCCTTGCAGCACGCTTACTGTTATATCGTATTCCTGTAGACTTTCCGTGGTTTCTGTGGTCAGCGTCCTTTTGTCGAGGTAATCATCGATTATTGCCATATTTTCTGGCTTTGTGTTGAATTTATGCTGCAGGGCATCTTAAATATCTCCCCAATTTGCGCTGTTAGAAGCGTTTTTTATATCTAGTGTGAGGAGGGGACACACCTTGCGAGCTTTAAAGCTCCAGACCATGCTTTTGTTACTGTCTCTATGACTTATTGGATCGCGCCGACTGTCGATCGTCCTTTCCGAAAACCATGTTGGTTAGTGGCAAAGCCTCCGGCACGATCGATGTCGTTGCGAAGTCTTCCCTGTATGAGCTTCTTGAGAAGCAGTGTGTGTGTGTGTGTGTTTTTTTTTTTATAGAGTGCAACGTGGCCAGTTGGCTCACATTAGGTAAAAGCCAATTTACCACCTGATACTAAACGTTTGCTGATAACATGTAAGTCAGATTTGAAATTAGGTGATAATTGCTAATAGTACGAGAATTATTTGAGAGTGGCGCTAGAACGTGTCCCCACTTCTATGCTAATTTATGTACGCGGAAGTTGCGTGCATTCAGTCTTTGTTCAACTTTTATAATGTATACTTCTGTAATTGATATATTTGTTAAAATATAATTAATTATTTTTACCGTGTTACAACGTAATGTTCGGTATTTTATTGATTTACAACATTTATTAAACAATAACGGCTTTTTAAAACTATCTTGGCACGATACAACTCCGATTATTAGTTAACAAGGAGTATGTCGTACATTAATTAAATAATACGACGCACATACACGACAATTTCGCTTGGCATATCGTGTACGAGGAAGATCCTGGTTTGTCGGTCACTTCGATTAATTCGTCTGTTCCTGATCCAGTAACCGGCTCAGCTGCAGCCTCGAGGAATCTACCACCGCTGGACAACGTTAAAGCACACCGAAGTGGTAGTAGTAGCTGTTGTAAGTCAGGTGGTATGTTGGTAAGAATTGGACGCGGTATTGAACTCACTTTGAGCTGTATTTTTCAATATTTGTATTTTGACGACCATTTAGCTCTATTTTTCCAACTAAGCGATCAGCGGAGCAGTACGCGATAGAGGTTGGTTCTCTGTCGGAGCTGAACCCATCTTTCAACGAGTACCGCCACCCACGATTTGCCCTAGACCATATTCCTAACGTGAATTAAATCAATTTAGCTATTTGTAGCTTTGAAAGCTATCAACTTGGTCCGCCGTAAAATCTAAAGCTACAGGCATCTGGAGCAGCATCGACTCTTATAAGCTACGGCTTCGAGTTGGTTACACTCCGGGTGTAACGAGCGTGTCTTTTCGACCCAGTTCGTATTTAATTGTTAAACTAAAATTTCGATAAACTAAATTTCTAATGCAAAATTTATTTACTCTACGAACAGTTGAGATCAGCCACGTTACAAGAGAAACGAAAAAAATCTTTTAAAGACGCGGTTATCATTGAAAGATGATAGCCGATAGTGTGGGATTTTTACCCACTAAAAAAAAAACTCCTCTTTCTACTCTCGTGGATGGTACGATGACTGAATCGGATTTTCTTTTAAAAGGCGCTGTGCGTAGGCTGCAACAACTGACCAATTATCTTCTTTTCTGAGCATGCAGGCTATCAAGCTCCTGGAAGAGAGCGTGGTGCCTATAATTTCTGCGGTGCTGCTTCTGTAGTCCTTTCACCGTACACACTCGAACTGTCCACTCGAGGACTGTCCATCTGCCCGTGTCCCCTCATGTCGATTGGTCCTGCCACTTTTGCTGCGTTTCTACCTTTATCCTTGCTCTTGCTTCTTTCATGTTTTCTCCACTAGTTTCAGCGTCATAGAGTTTTGCTCTTTCGAACGCTAGTAAGTCGATGGGCACGGCTCCCGCAATGACCAATACAGCCACTTCGGAAACCGTGCGGTAGGCACAAGCAACCCTGAGAGCACCTCGCCGCTGCACTGCCGCCATCTTTCGCCGGTAGGTCTTCTGTTTTACTATGTTTGCCCATATCTCCGTTCCATAAATCAGTACCGAATGGACTGCTTCCAAAAGGACTCTTCTCTTTTTGGTTCTTGGTCTAATAGTGTTGGTCATAATTCTCGCTAAGCTAGACACCGTCTTGCTGGCTTTCTTGTATGCACTGTTGAGGTGTTTGCGGAAAAATAGTTTCTCGTCTATTATTACCCCTAGATAGTGCAGAGCCCTTGTTGACGTCAGTGTTGTTCCTCCCATGTCCACAGTGAATGGTTTTGGGAACCATTTCTGACGTGTCAAAACGACCATCTCGGTTGTTTGGCGAGTTTGACGTGGTGTTTACCAAGCCAAGTCTCGACGGCGTCAATGGTTTCCCGAACTAGTAGTTCGGCTTCTTCGTACGCTGTCTACTATTATCGTGGCAACAACGTCGTCTGCAAAGCCCGTTAGCTCTACTTGCTCTGGCAACGGGATTTCAAGAAGCTCGTCGTAGTCCACGTTCCATAGATCGGGCCCTATTATTGAGCCTTGCAGGACACCAGCCGTTATGGCGTATTCTTGTGGGCTTTCAGTAGTTTCCACTATTAGCTTTCTTTCGTCAAGGTAGTTGTCGACTAGTGCCAGATTCTCTGGCTCCGCGTCAAATTTGTGCTCCAGAGCGTCTAAAATGTCTTCCCGATTTGCGCTGTTAAATGCGTTGTTGACGTCTAGTGTGAGGATAAGACATACTTTACGAGCTTTGAGGCTACCAGACCATGCTTATGTAGCTGTCTTTATGACTTTCTCGATCACTTCGACTGTCGAACGACCTTTCCGGAAGCCATGTTGGTTGGTGGCAAAGGCTTCAGCCGGTCGTTGCGATGACTCCCTTGCATGAACTACTCGAGCAGTTTTCCAGCAATGTCTAGCATACAGAGTGGTATAAACGACGGTGTTACGAGGGTTCCCTTACCTTTGTCTAAGAGAACCAATCTCTGCCGCTTCCAGACCGCGGAAAAATCGCCAGTTACCAAGCATGCGTTGTAGGTGTTCGGGAGTAGCAATATCATCCAGTAGCGATAGCCGGGGACTTCAACTCCTGGGCAGTTGACTGGGGTAGCAAACATACAAACGCAAGAGGGAAAGCACTACTGGAGGCCTTTACTACACTAGATGTAGTTCTGCTCAACAGTGGTGATACGCCGACCTAAACCAAAGGTGACGCAAGCTCAATTGTAGACCTCACTTTTGTCGGTAATAGCCTTGCCAGAGGCGACTGCAACTGGAAAGTGTTGGACATCTACACTGCCAGCGACCATCATGCGATATTCTGGGAAATATCAAGCGACCAGAACCCCAAGAGACCAGTCAAGCAGTCTAACATCGTTGGCTGGAAGGTAAAATCTTTTGACCCAGAAGCATTACTAATAGCCCTCGATGGTGATCCGATCAACATTGGATGTGCAGAAGAACAGACTAAGGACCTGATGAGGAGAGTAACACATGCTTGTGATGCCAGTATGCCTCGTAAACGTGGCATAAAGTCGAGACCTTCAGTCCATTGGTGGAACGACCACATCAGCGACCTCCGTAAAGAGTGTCATAAGAAAAGAAAAATCTCTCAGCGCGGCTATCAACGGCCCAACCCAGTGGAGCTGATCGCAGAGTACAAAAAGGCACGCCGTGATCTGAATAAAGCCATCAAAGAGAGCAAAAAAAGATGCTGGAAAGAGCTTATATACAAAGTGGATAAAGACGTGTGGGGTAGGCCTTACCAGTTGGCGCCAGGCGAATTGGACAACATCCCACCTGTCACTGAAGAAGAACTGCTGGAGGCTTGTAACCATGTAGGGAATAATAAAGCGCCGGGATTAGACGGAATCCCTAATT